TATTACTCTCCCATCCGAATCTACAGTGCTCTATTAGTATGTAAGAGTGTGTGTGAGGGCAAAGCGCAGTGGCTCACACCTGTAATCCATCCTAGTACTTTGGGAGGCTGAGATGGGAGGATCACTCGAGGCCAAGAGTTCAAGACCACCCTGAGCAAGAGAGAGAGACACTGTCTTTACAAAACTAAGAAAAATTGGCCAAATGTCATAGTGAGTAGTGTGTGCTAGTAGTCCCCCCTGCAGGGGAGGCTGAGGCAGGATCACTGGAGCCCAGGAACCTGAGGTTGGTGTGAGCTGCAGTGACACCATTGCACTCCAGTCTAGCCCATATGAGCCAGGAGATCATGTACCAAAAAAAGAAAAAAAATGCTAAAAAACAAACAAACACACAAAAAAGCACTCAGAGAGGATATTTAAATTCAGAACAGGAGGAGGAAAGCAAGGTAAAGGGCAAGTGCTGAAATGGTCAAACATAAGTCAAGGGGAAGCGTGGACTAGGAAGAGTTTGGGATGGGAGCGCTTTGTTTTTCTAGATTCTAGCTGCCTGGACATTTGTTTCTTTGAGCTGCATCCACAGGAGAGTTTACATTGCAATATTTGGGGGCGGTTATCTTAACAGTAAAGGCTGGAGAAGGGGAATTAAGGCAGGGCTTAATTCTTAAAACATGGCAATGGATGGAACAGAATTCCCTGAGAGTGGTGAGCACGTTGAGGTTGGCACATAAGCTGACACGAAGTACATGTATGATAACTTTTATTGCTACCAGTTTAATGAACACACAAATGTTTCACATATATCACTGAACCATACAAACCATGATTTCATGTGTATTATCGCGTATGATAGTAGGTATAAGATTTTCTTAAAAAGTATTCAAGTAAAAGGAAAATGTCCGTTGACATTTTAAGGACAATATTAAGTAAAAATGTACAGGTGGCACACAGATATGGCAAAAATTGCAAAAGAGGCGTGGGAAATGCTAGGTTAGAGACCTGGACATACTCTTTCAAACTAATCACTTGCTACCTGTTATCATCCCACGGATGAGTATCAAGGAAGTGAGAGTCTCATAAATGCTATGTTTTTATAATGCATGAGACGGATCTACCTTGACAAACATCCTATTTCCTGTGCTAAAGCAGCCATCATTTTTTGTCCCGTGGGGAGAAGCTGTGTTTATTCATGTCTTCTGGAGGTGTAATGTGTCACAGGCATAATGAGCACACTACATAATTTTTCGCACGAGTGCCACACAGGGTAGAAATGTAAAGCAAGTCACCAGTGCATGAGCGAGTGAGGCCTAGTGGTGTGGACGGCCTGGTCTTGCCCCTGGTAAACTGGCTCCCTACTCTTTGTGCAACTGCCAAGGAACCTTAATGACTGTTATCTTTGCTGACCTAAACGCAACATCTCGCTCCAAATTTATTGGCTTGGCGACGTTACAAGTTTTATTACGCAAAAGTTGAGAAAAAGCAAAGCTGAAGAGTGCTAAAAACAGTACACTTTGCTACTGTGTAGTATCTGTATTTGGGGCTCAGGGTGTTTTATTTATAGATATCTATTAATACACAGCCAGAGATACAGAAAGAAACACAGAACAAATACCTTTATCAAGTAGTTTCCAGCATTCAAGTGTAACATCAAAAGCAAGAAGATCTACAGCAATCTGTTCTGTTGCAGGGAGAAAAAGACATCTTCTTCACCTCTTTTCTCCTTTCCTTCCCCTTTCCTCTCCAAGGATAACTGGCTGCAAGGAGTGTTTTCCCCTGGCAGCTCTTTGAGGCCCGGGATGGGGCTGTGAAGGTCCCTCCATATTCATGAAACCTCCATATTTATTCCATGGTCCAACTTTTTTAACCTCCTCTTTTCCCTCCTTCTCTAGCAATGCCTTCCGTGGAGGAGGAGTGGGGGCATCTAGCTTGTAAAACTGGTTTGTTGGGGTTCTCCTCTCCCCTACTTGATTCTTGGGAAAGTTTCCTGCTGGAAGCTGCCTGCCAGTGCCTGAGCTGCCTTCTCTGGGCTTGAAGTGACGCCCCCTCCAGCTTCTGTAGGAGGAAAAGAGGGCTGCTACCTGAGGGACAGATAGAGAAGGCAGAAACCACCCCTCGCCCCAACACACAAAGAAAGAGACACAAAAATGCACGCACACACCCCTATCTTGGAAAGAAAGGACTCGAAGAGATGGGGACAAGATTATACTTGGTACAGTGGGGGAATTTCAGACCCTTCCAGCTCTGACATTCTGCATTCTTATTAATAGTATTAATATTTACTTTCATAGAGCTCTAGAAGGGTCATGGGGGCTGATCACTAGCTAGCCACAATTTGTACTTCTAAACTCAAACCCATTCACAGACAGGGCAGGAGAGGAGAAAGGGCTGTGGGAAGGTGTGTGTGGGGTTTCATTTTGCTTCACTTCTTTACCTGATCATTGGGTGCTGTTGGCTGCCAGGACAGCCTCAGCAAGGGGGGTGGGGGGGACTGGGTGAGATATGGTGGGGGTTTGGGGTGGGAAGACAGGCTCCCCAGCTGAAGGGGAGACCAGGCTGGACCCAGGAGGATACTGGGGAAGGGACAGTGGTTTCTGGGAAGGGGCTGAGAACATGTTGGCCCTGACTGTTGCCAGCAGGTTAAAAAAAGTGGTGATATAGGCAGATTCCTGCCAAGACACCTTTCCCAGATCACCTTTCCTTTTCACTGGGAAAGCCTGGATCTTGTGAATTTGACATGCGTTCTCCTGTCCTCTCTCAAGGTCTGCTGGAGGGCAGAGGTGAGGACACCCCAGGCTTAGCAGAAACGGGCAGATCTGGCTTCCTCTTGGGTGACGCTGAGGTCTAGGGGGAGCAGCAGCCTCCGTGGGCCCCTGGGGCTGGGTAAGATAGGCATACCAGGAGGCAGAGCCCCCTGGGGACATCTCTGGGTGTGGGTGTAGATCTGGGAGGAAGGGTTCCTGCCTCTCCCTCATCTCCAGTTCTTGCTGCAATAGGTCTTTCAGGGGACAGATCTCATTTCAGACCTGGCACTGCTGCTGACATACTACTCCCAATTGTGACTTCCAGGGAGGACTGGGTTCCCAAGTGTGTCAATGTGCACAACTTTGGTGTTGGGAGAAGATCTGTCCTTTTGATTCTAGAGGTGAAGGACAAGCAAGGAGAAGGAAGAAATGGCTCTGTGGGATCCTCCTATGCTGTGGGAGTATTGGAAATGAATCCACAGTTGCCGCTCACCCCCACTCACCCCTGGGAAGATCGGAGTAATACAAAATGAGGAGATGGAGGCAGCATCCACCTAATGGTATCCCTAGACGCTAGATGGAGACTTGTTTTATTCCTATACAGGAAAGAGGCAAGAATTTAATAACACAAATTAAATCATCTAAAAATGGGGCTCCAAGACACCTTTCCCAGATCACCTTTCTTTTTCACTGGGAAAGCCTGGATCTTGTTTTCTCATCTAAAAATGGGGCTCATTGAAAAAGTCAGTATTTTACATGTATATTTTGCTTTATTCACTACAGCATCTTGTCACCTGTACAGTAGGGGCCATGTGGTCACACATGGGGACATTTGAAAGTTAAATAGATAGGACATTGTTTTGCAAATGTGAACATACTATCAAACATAAGGTATTGTCTGATACCCTCATTCAGCATCGGCATTTCCTCCACCACCACACTCAGTGCATAGTCACGTAACCCTGTACAAGAACACCTTTTTGCCCTAAGTGAAAAAAAAATTAAGTAAAAAACCAAAAAAACCCCAGAAAAGATGTCCCTGGGTAGGGAATAAACGGGATATTCTGAAGTGCACCCTCCTCTCCTATTTCTACGTCATCCTCGCCCTTCCTGGGCCCCCAGCACGGGTTGCATTTCCTCCAGTCATTTAGAAACCCAGGTTTTTACGGTCCGTCTAATCTAACATCAGCCCCGGTAGCTCTCCGTCTCCCCCTGGTGTTCTCCCGCATTTCCTACAAGTGGTGGTTTTGACCGCGCGGCGATTCGGAACGCGAAGGGTGGGCGCAGGAAAGAGCTCAGGGGGACTCCTGATGTTGAAAAGAGCGGGTACGTACTCCAAGCTGCTTTAATTATTATTTTTTTGAAGTTTCCCTTTCTTGTCAATCTGCCGCACAGATCAGTCTCACGTAAACTCAAAAAACTTTATCAAAAAAGACTTGGGGGCAGGGGCTTGAAGGGAGAGAGAAGCACCTCGATCTGCCAAAATCGTTTGACGCCCCTAGTAGGGGGGGAATGAGGAGGGAGAGCGGCCCCTTGTTTGACCGAGACCAGAATCGGAGAGACATAAAAGGAAAATGAAGTGAAAAACAATTTAAAAAATTCCCCGCACACAACAATACAGTCTATTTAAACTGTAGCTCATACTTTTCATACCAATGGTATGACTTTTTCTGGAGTCCCTCTCCTGATTCTTCAACTCCGAGGCTGGCAGCTTGCAAAAGGGGAAGCCAACCGCAGCACACAGCACGGGCAGGTTTACCAAAGGTCTCCAATGGGTATTTTCTTTTTCTTAGCCCTGCCCCTGGATTGTCAGACGGCGGGCGTCTGCCTCTGAAGTTAGCAGTGATTTCCTTTCGAGCCTGGCCTTATCTCCAGCTGCACGTTGCCTGTTGGTGACTAATAACACAATAACATTGTCTGGGGCTGGAATAAAGTTGGAGCTGTTTACCCCCACTCTATAGGGGTTCAATATAAAAAGCCTGCGGAGAGCTGTCCGAGTCAGACGCGCCTCTGCATCCGCGCCGGGGCGAACAGGTCCCGAGGCTCCGCTGCGGTCCGGAGAGCCACCGCCGCCTGGCGCGCCTGCAGACCGCTCCCGCCGCCTTCCCTCCCGGCAGGAACGGCTTTTTCCAGCTTTTTCTCCCGGTTGAAGGGCACTTAGACTGAAGGATCGCCTCGAGACCTGAACAACCCGCAAGGCTCCGAGAGAACTGAAGCTGTTATTCTTGCTTCTACTTCGGGTTCAGTTTGCACGGGAGGTTTTTGATTCCCTTTTCCAGAATGGATTATTTTCCCATGATTTTCTCTCTGCTGTTTGTGGCATTCCAAGGAACTCCAGAAACAGGTAGGCGTGCCGACTTGTAAATCTCGGAACCTTTCTGTCTTTTTATCCATCTTAATGCTCTCACTGCTTCTGTTTTTCTCCCTGCTCTTGATGACTGCAGCTTCCAGAGCAAGTGTCTGGGAATGAGTCCTCTACGTTACTGAAGTTTCTAGGGAAAAATTTAAAATTCCTCAGCTGAATACAATTGAATATAATATAGCATTAACACAAATTATCATGTTAATTATTGCATAATATGTGTGCTTGGCTTTAAAAAAAAGTAGCTCAAGAAGAGAATAGATATTATTTAGCCAAATGTGTGTTTCCAATGTATGTGTTCAGACAGATACATAGACCGTACAGGAATACAGACCTTCTTTAAACACTGCTTTAATAGTGTGCTAATGTGTAAAGTATTTAAACATTTCAGCTTGAAGCCAAGGAATTTTATTCAAGTTATTCAAGGGATATACATACGAGCAGTAAAATCTCTTGCAGAACAAGAGTCTGTTGAATAACACCCCCCCCCCCCCGCGGTTTCAAGGTGAAGCAGATGTTTTCTTTAAAATTTGTCATTATTGACTTTAGGTTTCTTTTGGCAGGTTTTTGGCACCTGAAGCAGTGTGAGCTCTTTTCAGTTGTATTCACCTGTCCTGGGAAGGGAACTAGAATATTCTTGGCTGCTTAAGGATTTAGACTGTGCGTGTGCATCTGCCTGGCTCCCCTCTTTTTTTTAGGGTCAATGCACTTTTTTTGTCTTTGCATGACCCTAACTAAAGAGAAAGGATGTCAAGGGGATGAAACTCCTGGAATGTGTCTGATCATTTAAAATGTACAAAATTAGGCAGATAAGCTGCACAGTTATATTGTCAGAAGGAAGAGGCGATGCCAGAGTGGGAAAGGGGAGGTGGCAGACTGCACGCAAGGCAGACTCCCCAAGGGTTTTGGATTTCTGTGTCCCCTGAGCTGCTTCACTTTAGCTCACTGATTTCTGTGGCGTTCCCCACCTGAAATGAATATGGGAGAGTTAATTTCTCTTCCGTCTCCCCTCATTTTGTCCCTACCTGATTCAACAGGTGTATATTTTCTTTGAGGGGTACAAGGAGCCCTACACGGGATGTGAAGTGGTGGGTACCCCCTTAAAGGGAAGGACATCCTGAATGGGGAAGTGGCCCCTAGGCTAGGAGAAGCCAATGAGATGTATCTTTAGCCATCAGCCAATTTTAAGCCACTCTGGGTTGTGCTGTCCTACTAAGTCCCGTGCAGAAACCAACCCGGATTTCCAACAATTAGCATGTCCAAGTATTTCCTTGAAGCCTGCGTCAAGGGCGCATTCCTTCTCAGGCGTTTTTCTTCTCTGCCTTTGTATAATCTATGGATAAGCCAATGAGGGTAAAGGTGCAATCAGGTTAAGCGCGGGGAAATAAAGAACCCCTTTCCTTCTGCTTGTGTCTCTTGCTGAAGTCAGGCTGTGTGCTCATCAGTGTTTATCTGTGCTGCTAGCTCTGGTGTAAGTACCAGGACCCAGCGAGACTTTGGGCCTCGGAGGAGACATCCCCCACTGACCTACTCTTTCTCTCCCCAGCAGTCTTTGGCGCTGAGCTCAGCACCCGGGCTGATAATGATAACGGAGTGGAGAAGCCCTCTCCCAGTGCACCCTGGCGGCCCCGCAGGTCCAAGCGCTGCTCCTGCTCATCCCTGATGGATAAAGAGTGTGTCTACTTCTGCCACCTGGACATCATCTGGGTCAACACTCCAGAGTGAGTCTCTAGAGGGCATCGTAACTCTAGTCATTCCTCAGCGCTCCTTTTCTGGGGAGCTTCTGGTTTGGACCCTGATGGAAGTGCCTCCATGGGGACTTTTCTGGGCTCCTCCATTCCTGAAAATCGTAGGACATTTTGGTCCTTGACCATTGAGGGGAGAGGCTTCCGAGGCCCCGTGGCTCAGGCCGCTCTCTTCAGGATAGATGAAAAGAGCTGAGGACAAGGAGGAGGCCGTGGCACATTTCAGATGAGGAGCGCCAATGGGAGGGCCCTCGGGATGCTCTCAGTGGGAGCTGATGGGGTTTAGGGAATGAGCTGCTGAGGTCAGCGTGGATTAGTCCAGCCTGTGCTTCTCATGGGAGGGTAGAGATTGAGAGGCAGGAAAGATTAGGGAAGGTTATAATCCAATCCCATCATTTTGCTTATAGAAAAACGAAGGGCCAAGATATCGAAGTCCCCAGTGCAGGAATGAGTTTGTGGCAGGGCTAGAACTGGAAGCTGAGTCCCCTTCCTGTTCTGTGCTTTCTCTTTAGAAAAGCCAGTTGCAAGGCAGAAATAGAAATACCATCCATAGCGTTCTCATTCGCCTCCAGAGTGAAGAAAAGTGTTTTCCCTCCTTTGCCTCGGACACTACTTCACTGTCAGAAGCAGTCAACTGCAAGCACAGGCTCACTGTGTCTGCAATGTCATAGTAGGGGGAGGGATGACCAAAATCCAAACAAAATCAAACCAAACAAAAAAGACAGTGAGCCAAATGCTTAGTAAGGTAATACTTCAAGAAGAGGGCTTTATTCCTTAAATGGGACTCAAACGAACCCTTTGGAGATTTTTGGAGAGCGCTCTGGCCACGAGTCCATCTGCAGCCATGCGGTATCACTGAGCTGCAGGAGAAATGTGCAAACGTGTCTCCTCCTACCCCTCAGGGGGCACTTTTAGCATTATCATATATGATTTGAATTGAAAATAGGTTTTACAAACCTTGTGAGTCATAGTTTCTGCATTGAAGTCTCCTCCTCCTGTCCCTTCACCATAGCTATTAACTAAATAGACCTTTAAAAGAGGAAGAAACTATGAAAAAGATACCAAGCAGGGATGTCGTAATTTGGGGGGAAACCCCCACCATTGCTTGTGTCAAGAAGAAACTGAACTTCTGTTACGGTGAAAATGGAGTTTTATTGAGTTAGAAAAACTGGTTCTTTCCTGGTTGGGTACACACACCCAGGACCGTTGATGGGTTCCTGAGCCTTGGCACACTGAACTCTCCTAACTTATGCTCCCGAGCACTGTGTGATGAGCTCCCTGTGTGCCGAATGGAATGAGTGTGCCCCAAAGAAGGTGTGGTTTTGAAGACTATTGGTTATGCTAATACTTTCTGTTTCTCTCTTTTGATAATAGGCACGTTGTTCCCTATGGACTTGGAAGCCCTTCTCGGTCCAGGCGCTCCTTGAAGGATTTATTTCCTACAAAGGCCACAGACGCCAGGAGCAGATGCCAGTGCGCTAGCCAACAAGACAAGAAGTGCTGGAGTTTTTGCCAAACAGGAAAAGAACTCAGGTGAGTAGAAATACCTTCGTTTCGATCAGTTGAACAGCTCCACCTCCTGACCTCCTTCCTGTTTGGTTTCTGCCTTTTTGTTTTAGAGAGAGGCATAGAGACATTGAAAGTCAAGGTAAAACTGAAGATATCCTTGCTGAAATGTTTTTTCTCTGTGTATTTCAACAGGGCCCAAGACACTGTGAAGAAAGGCTGGAATAAATCTAAGAAAGGAAAAGACTGTTCTAAACTTGGGAAGAAGTGTATTCATCAGCAGCTAGTGGAAGGAAGGAAAATGAGAAGGTAAGGGTTCCCTAAGCATAGCCAGCCCTGGTCAGCCATGCTAACAGCCTCCTCCCCTGGTTCTTCTTACCTAGGTAGGAGAAAGACTCAGAAGTCAATAACAGAGGGGTCTTTTGTCCTGTAGATTAAAAACAACAGAGAAATCCCTCTTAGATTTATCCACGAAGGCCTTGAATGCCACTGCTTGCCTCTGGACTTTAGCACACAACATTTGGTATACAGGTTGATTTTCCAGGCAAAATATACCCCAAAGCAACATCTTTGTCATTGGATCGTATCTCAGTCTTTCCCTCTCTGAGTCAATGTATTTAGCACTTTCCCTGAGAAGTTAAAAATCCTCTCAAGGAGAGTACATTTCTTTAAAAAAAAAAAAAATCATAGTGCCATGTATGGTATTCAGAAAGTAGCAGTTATTCAAATGGCCAAAGGGAAAATAAAGTCATTAGGTAGGGTTGGTGAGATTAGAACATACTGTTTTTCAGGTTTATTATCTTTTTTTTTTTAATAGGGAAATGCATTTGGTGGTGAGCCAAAATCATTCCCAAAGCTCTCTCATTTCCTAGTCGGTCGTGGGCTGGAACAGAGCCGGGTATGGGCTGGGACGGTTGCGTTAGGCAACACCATATTGCCCTGAGCAGCTCTGTAGTGATGACCCTTCCAAATGCTGAAGTGTTTGGAGTTCACAAGCTGGAGGGAGGAAACCTACTTTCAACATCTGTCATATGTTCTGCATTTCTCTATCATGGTCTATGGAAACTTTTCCTAGAAATCTAATGGCAAGAAATACCATGATTAAATTGTTCTAAAGCACAGGCAGGAGTGATTTCTGAGTTGTTTACTACCGATCTGTGAGGCAGGCCTCAGCTGTCTATTCTTTCAGACCTGCCATTATCATTCCCATAGTTAATGATCTCAGATTGGTCATGCTCCCCACATGATCACAGTTTCTGAACTGACCCAGAAATTATAATTTTTCCCTTTTATTGGTTTTATGTCAACTATTAAATCAGCATCATAGTTCTTCCCTCTTTTTTTCTCCTGTACAAAGAAAGCATTAGGCCTGCAAAAAGCCAAAATTCTTTTTTTTTTTAATTACCATAAAGTATTTGCTTTGGGCCTACCTGTATGCCTCCTTTCTTTTTCTCTCTTGCCAACAAAGTTGCTTTCAATTTCTTATGTGATTAAGAAGATGTCCTTGACTCTTTGAAACTTATGCTGAGTCCTACAGTTGTGGAGGTTGGATGGGGCTATAGAAGGAATAAGAACATCTCTAGTTTATTTTAAAATTGTATTTAATGCCCAAATCTCCTTGGACTTGAACATATGACCCTTCTCCCCCATCCTAAGCATACAGGGCAAGACTTTATTTTTATAATGGTAATAGATACCACTTGAGGTTTTATCAAAGAGCTGTGGTTGCTGGTGAACGTTCTGAACCAGATTTAGATTTGTTTGTGCCAGATTCTAATTTTAGATGTTTCTTTTCCAGAGGAGTGTTTTTTTTTCTAAAAAATAAGGTTTGTTTTCTCTTATCTTGTTTTAATAGGTTGGAGGCCATGAGCAATAGCATCAAAACATCTTTTCGTGTTGCAAAGCTGAAAGCTGAGCTCTACCGAGAGCAGAAGGTGAACCACAACCGAACACATTGATTACAGAGCTTCTGGGACTGTCTGAAAACATGGCCTCTGAGGAGAGAGACATGTGGCCAACTCTGCACTCTCTCCAGGCTGGCTGGGATCAGAGCAGAAGTGTCTTCCTTGCTTAGACCATTTCTTTCTTGTTCCTGACTGGCAAAGGACCAGCGTCCTTGTTCTAAACATTCCAAGAAAAGTTAAGGAGTTCCCCCAAACTGTCTTCATTTGCTTCCATCAGTGGTAACTGCTTTCGGCTCTTCTTTTGTTTAGGGATGACAATGGACCTCTCAGAAAGCAGAAAGACACAAGACATTTGAATTAGGGTGGCATCCTCCGGAGGGAGGGAGGATATTCCACAAGAGGGTGGAGTTTCTAAAGAAGGTCCTAAGGGAGGGTCTGTGTCTGACTCAGGCGCCTGGCACATTTCAGGGAGAAACTCCAAAGTCCATGCAAAGATTTTCTAAGGAATGCACAAATTGAAAACACACTTGAAGGACAAATACTCCTGTTTAAAAAAAAAAAAAGACTTTAAAAAAAATTCATAAAATGCAAAACTGCAAAACTGTTACTACTGAAAATCAGGATGTGTTTCATAATATGAGTCTACCTCACCTATATTGCACTCTGACCGAAGTATTTTCCACCTTAATTCCTACCCCAAACTCCTCCCCCTGCTGCAGCCCTCGCCCCTCAAGCCCCATACTACATACAAGTCTGATCTGATCTATCAGTAGTAGATAAAACATTTTTATGGTAATCTACTAGCTCTGATTCATAAGAAAAAAGATGACTGAATCAGAAGAGTCCCTTGCCTTGATTTTTGGAAACACAATGGTATAGGGTTGTTTATGAAAGATACAGAAAAGTAAATGTTGGTTATGCTTTAAAGCAGTGAAATTATTTTCCTTTATGTAAACTGTCTAATGGAAGAGGTTGGATTGGATTTTGATGTACTTATTTTTTTATAGATATTTATATTCAAACAATTTATTCCTTATATTTACCATGTTAAATATATGTTTGGGCAGGCCATATTGGTCTATGTATTTTTTTAAAATGTATTTCTGAATGGAATTGAGAAAATGCTTTGTTTTGCCTGTCAAGGTAATGACTTTAGAAAATAAATATTTTTTTTTCCTTACTGTACTGATTTTGAATCATTTCTGAAATTCCCAAGGGGTGGGCCAAAGTGGTAAGAATTATAAAGGGAAGTGATTAAAGATGGTTTCATAGAAAGGTAACAAGGAAAACAGCCTAGGCTAATTTTAAAGAGACCTTGATCTATATCATATTAAGGTAAAAACAACAAAAAAATCCAGCTTTAACAGGTCTGTCTTTCCTTGAAGGGCAACCTCCTGCTTCTCCTTTACCTGAAAACTCTCTGGGGACTTCATCCATTAACTTTGCTCAGCTATTAGGCAAGATCCAACAATTTAAACTGACAGTGTGGTGAGAGGTGCTTTCTCCATATTAATGGACCAGAGGAAGTAATGGCAAGATGCTTCCACTTGAATATACCTGTTTACATATAGTTCCACACCAGAGCTGCTTCTAGAAAGTTCCCTGCTCAGAGCTGCAAGTAGAGGCTCTGAGTGATTTTTTTAAATTTTCTCTGATTAAGAATTTTGTTTATTAAGGAACATTGAATACTCTTGCTGCTTCACAATTGCCCAGGATTGGCCACATGCCCATGGAGGTGGAGGCACCAGGTCCTGATTCTAGGTCACCTGCCTGGCAGCACCCCTTTTTTCTCTATTTGCCTTGGCTGCCTCTGCTAAACCATGATAGGATAGGACAGTATTGTGTGTCCATAAGTGATTATCAGACTTCGAGAATCTTCGCTGCCCTTCTCTAACAGTGTCTGAAATGTTGCCCGGCATTCCACAAATATCAGCCCATGCTGATCACTGCTGTCCAAACAGTGACACATCAGAAGAATGTCAAGAAACATCTTCAAGTGCACATAGTCAATATCCTAGGTAGTGTTTTCATTTTTATTGACACTTTCTTTTGTTTCCTATATATTTATTGATTGATTTTTTAAGGCACAGTCTAATGCCTTTGAAGAATTGCCTACTAAGCTTACTTTATCTAGCAAGCTGTTTTTCAGAGTGTAATTCTCAAGGGGAAAATGAGTTTCATCTACATTGATAAGGTGCTCAGCCTGAATGTGGCCACTAGTCCATTTGAGTAAACAGTTCTATCCCCTTAAACAGTGAATTTTCTTATCTGTTAGATGAGGGAGTGAGGGGATTTCTCTAACTGCTTGAAGAGTCTGAGATGACACAAAGAAGTTGAGAAATGGTATGAAAAAAATGAAGACCCAAGTTTAGTGGATATGGGCCTATATTTAAGGGGAAGTTGGAATGGGAGAAGCCACAGAGTGAAAATAGGTCAAGTAAGAGTGATAAGAGTTTTTGTTTGTTTGTTTTTTTACCTGTCAGACCTTTAAATCCTCTTCCCTGAGGCTTCCTGCTTCAGTAACCAACAAGAAAATGAAAGTCCGGGAGCAGCTACTCCAGGGCATGAGGATTACCAGTAAAATAAGTTGGAAGATTCATAGAAAATTAATATTTTGCAAACATATAGAGGAAAAATTCAGTAATATTCAAGGTTCATGTCAGCTTGAGGGGTGAACTGATGTCGTCTGTCACACTTCCTGCTTTTTTTTTTTTTTCCTAGTATAGGCATGGTTTCTGGAAGCTCACTTAGGACAGATTTTTCTCTTCACATAAATAGCTCAGGCGAGCTTTGATCTCAGGACTCCAAGGGCCAGAGGACCTTGGATGGGGAGTGGTGACCTTTGGGGAGGGGGAGTACTTACTAATAAGACTTCATTTTTACTCACAGGGATTGGCTTCCTTTTTGGTGGAAACCACTGGCTTTAATCCTGCTTGCACTTCCCTGAAACATAACTCAGGATATCATACTAACCCAGAGTTCCCTGTGGAATGCTGCTTCTAACCTTGAGAAAAGCAGCATTTTGTCTTCCCAGGTGAAAAAGCCAGGGCCCAGAAAGGGACATGACTAACCTATGATGACACAGAGCTGCAGCATCTCTGCAGTCTGGACACCTGAGCGCAGCTGTTCCTCCCAGAGGCACCTGAAGGTCAGTGAAACTGATGTCCCATCAAACCTTGATAGAGGGATCTGAGTGGCAAAGGAAAAATCACTCTTTGTAAAAGTTTTGCCTCCGCCTCATAGATAATGATTGGGAGATCTAGCCCCTCAAGATGAAAGACAAGAAATGTAGGGGAAGAAAAGAGGAGTATCAGGGGGCATAAAAATCTCAACAAGTCATTTCTATAGGATAAAATGGAGCATAACTAGGAACTCAATATTATTCCATTTTAGATTTTAATCATCAAAATAATCTTTATATAATATGAGTGAAGGGGGAACCCTTTTGCTCAGTTCTCCTTTACTCTACAATGCAAAGCAACATTTTGTGTGTGTGTTTTTTAACTTCTGTGCTCATTTTCAAGCTCAAGTTCTCAATGGATAAAACACATTGTTTTCAAGCTATGCTCTCAATGGAGTTCTGTCTGTCTTGGCTTTCTCTTGTCTCTACTCACAGTTCCTGGGATCCTAGGTGTGGATGTATTTAAGGCAAGGGAATGTTTTTGCTCTCATGACCTTACTGACTTGACAGTAAGGGCTCAAAGATAAGCCCCTCATCTTTGCAGACAACTTGGCTCCCCTTGGCATTTTCACATCTCTATTCCCATTTGATCTCTACTCCTCTCCCCCACAACATTCCCTTTGGGAAACTGGGACCATTATTATTAGCCCACTTGACAGCCCAAAGAAATAAAACATAACGAAAGGGTGAGTGACTTGTCTAGAGTCCTACATCAGGCAAGATGCAATACCCTTTTTCTTAAACTTGCCCAGAGATGGGATACACTGGTAGGCAGTTTGGATAAATATAGATTATTTTCAGCATGCAAGTGACCTATGAGTGAAATTAACTTTTTAACTCTACTACGAAGATCAATTCCACATGTCCCTTGAGCCCTAATCATGAACATTTAGTTGTATGATATTTTGCTTACTACATCATTTTTACCATGCCAATGCATGCTTGGTGGAAAACTTGCTAGATTTTACAAAACCTGCCTCAGTCTGGGGCCATGGAGGGCTTTGACAACTACTGGCCATACAGCCAGCACATGGTAGGGAATAGCAGTAATGACAACAATGGCAGGGGGTACGAAACTTCTTCAAATCCTGAGTAGTAATCAGAGAAAGAGCTTGGGCTGGTGCCATTGGATAGTACAAAGAGAAGAGCTCAGGCCTTGGAGACATTGAATGACAGGAAAGATAGATCTCTAGTGTGGTAGGCTGCTTGCAGCTCAGAGAGGCAGCACGTGGGGAATCTCACATACAGTTTTGCTGGCTCAGACACTTCTGTGTTTCTCCATTCTATTCTTTTCTTTTTAAATTTTGCATTAGTCCACTCTTTTTGTCTCTAAATTGCTATGGAAGAATCCAGGGATGATATTTGCAATATTAAGCTTCCACAGGCACTGAGCAATTGGAACAGACTGAGCCAGAACTGTGGGGAGCTCCTGGTGGGCTCTAGCCAGGCCAGGTTTATGGCTATTTGCTAACCAGGATAAAATCATTTTAATATATTGCAAACTGGAATAGTCTCCCTGGTACCTCCCTGGGGCCTCTGTATGCCAGACTAGGAAGTATCACAACTGTTCTCTGTTAGGTAAGTTATTCTGTTTACAGCTTCACTAAGTGAGACAGCATTATCTTCGTGCCTGCAGAAAAGTTAGGCCCCAGATCTTTGTAGCTATACACCGTTGGCATCCTGTCACCTTATCGTCCCTCCGTATCATCTCTCTCATTCTTCTTATTCCCCTCACTCATGCCCTGGTTTCCAATGATAGAAGTGGAAATACTCTAGTTATTCCTTGTCTTCTTGGAGATATTTGTGGAGCAATTTTATGATTGCCAAACTCAAGTTTTGCCTTAGATCAGGCTTGCTAGGGCTCTACATTTACTCTGGGAAAACTCATGAGGCAGAGTTGTCTTAAGGTTGAATCTCGATCTCTTAGATTAGCTTTGGACCATAAGAGCATACCCAAATAATTTTGTTATATATATATATATATATACCTGGGACATGTTTGATAGTGCTTGGCAATGCTCTTAACTGAATGGGCAAACTGAAAATGTGGTCACCGTAGATCAGGATAAGCTTCACTCAATGCCTAAATACCTTTATCTGCAGACCAGGGCTGGGGCAGAGGACTGTCACCTTACCTAGTGCTTCTGGCCTCAAACACAGAGCTTTAGGCATAATATGCCATTCAATAAATGCTTGTTTAGTGAATTAATCAATACATAGGTGAGTTTCAGGGTTCAGTAAAAAGGGGGTTAGAATGATACTATTCTGGCCAGAATGTGACTAGATTACAGAATATTTATAAGATCTACTTATATGACTTTCTTTGGAGAGTTTGTGTAGCAAAAATGTACTTTTATTTAGGCTCAATTCTAGTAGTAAATTATGTGGCACAATAGG